GGGGGGGGGGGGGGGGGGTTGAATATTTGGAATCTCTAGATCGTCGGAAATGGCACTTTCAGAGTCTTCATTAATTTATTGATTGTGATTCTAGAAATGCTATGAAATTATATACTCGGAAAATGTACTTCTCCTCCTGAGATCTTATCATCTGGGACACAAATAGGGAATAAAAATTACGAGTCCTATAGATCTAATTACGAGAGCTATAACATACTGATTTCCCAAGCTGTCTTAAAAAAGTAGGATTTTATGAGAAAAAGTAGGAAAATCAAGCAATTTTTAATAGAAAATAGGAAAAGTAGGAAAGTTGAAGAAAAGTAGGAAAAAGTAGGAAAAGTAGGATGGCAAGAAAGCCTGCATATCTTACAAACATTTTTAGCGTTACATTGTTTTTGTGGCTAGCCCGCGAACGGGATAGCCACAAAAACTATAGACAGTTTGGAAGAATTTGTAAAGAGGATTTATAAATAATGTTAAAATTCTTTCAAATTAGGCAAATTTAATTTTTGTTGCCATTTTCCTAAACATTCAAAGATAGATAAACATTTAATATGAATAAGTTCATTGTGATATTAGTTGCAGAGGGACGCAATCTTTTGTTGTCTCCCAACACGAAACAATGCAAAAAATATTTACAAATCGAGTCGAAGAAAAATGTTCCTGATTCGAACAATTTTAATAAGAACGAAGAAATAAATTCGCTGAAACATTATGAAACGAGTTATAGTGCCAATCAATGTTACACGAAACGCTAAAACGAAAAACAACATCCGCTATAACTCGGAAATATTTTTTTACTTCACACTTCATTGTAAATAAAGTATAAAGAAAAAAATATCAATAGCTGTATTCGTGGCATCATTTCGACTAAGGGACCGGTCATAAAGTAACTGCTAGGGTGGGCTGGAGGTAAATCACAAATTTTGCCAATAAGTTTGGTGACCCATCTTAGGATGTAGATAAAAATTTCAAAGCCCAATCAAATTTATTTCATGACCCACCCACCCAATCTAAATTGGGAAAGTACACTTTTATAATAAAAAAAACTTGCAGGTATGAACATATATCAATACAGTGCCTGTGTATATCTTTATTTTGTATCTGCGAAGCAGATTACTAGTAACGTTACCCATAGCCATTCAGCGAAGAGCTTATATAATTAAGCCAATCAGCGATTAGCTTACATCAATTGTTTACATCGTCCTCGCACCTAACCTGCGAACAGGCGTAGTTTGGCCTCGTGTAAGTCGTGTTACTCTTTGCCATATTTTGACTTCAAAAATATCTTGATTTTATCTTGAATTGGCTGTCTTGTCTTCACCATTCTACTTGTGATATTATTCCGAAGTTATCTATCAACATGGAAACTTATCCTCATCTGGTAAGTAGCCAAATACCACCTATTTTATTATATACGTTTATACAGTATAAAAACAATCATTGTGTAATATTTCACATGTATTAAAACAATCAAAACTCTGGCTGCAGGCATTATATTGCCAATTAACAATATCACAAGAAACTAATGTTCTCAGGAGATATTGAATTAAATCCTGGTCCTGTATTTCTGTAACTCTGTTCAAAACAACAGTCCAACTAAGTTGTCATCAAATGTAGTGTTATTATAATAAAGGTAAAGATGTCGTCAGTTAAAATTATACTATACATTTTAGTTTTACACATTAGAGTTAATTAAACAAAATTGTTACAACCATTTTCAAATGCTAATACTCTATATATAACCCTCCCTCCTCATTACATTGTCATTTTGCTTTCTAATATAAATTTTTTGTTTAGAGATTAATACAAGAATGATGAATGCATGTACTGATGTACTGGATATTGGCTGGATAATTTTGTCAGAACAACCCATTTGAAAGAGAATCTTACCTAAATTCATTAGTATGGAAAATAACTTAACAGCTACAATAATCATATATTATATGGATGGATCAGATCAATGGCGCACAATGTACAAAACTAAACTTGTGATACCTTCTACTCAAACAAATATTCTCCCACAACACAAATTGTTTTTGTGTGGATATGCTGAGTTAAACCGAACAGTGTGGTATATTATTAACTGTGCACAGGATTGGAATTGAATTATATACTTCATTCATGACCTTCAAAATATTCTCTACTATTCAGTAGTCTTCGATATATGAGCGACTCTTTGCTACAGCAATGCATGTTCCTCGATTAGTTTGTATGTTACTCGACAGTTAACATTGGCAAGTGTAAACAACAAGTGACAGAACTTTTGCATCATATGATTACATTAAAGTTTTGAAAATTCGATGAGTATGGATTGACAAGTGACAGTTTACTAAATAGCTGGCTGTGTAGGCACTACGAATATTGTTTGCATGAAATTTTTAATTCCCTGACTGCATAATTATCCGTTACAGGCATAATTAATCACACTATAAAATTAGTTAAATTTTCTCGGGGGGTTGCTCTACTGCCCCCCGTGCAGTGTACAGCCCTGTTAGATTTGTATTATGTTTGACTTTAAAATCTTATTTGCTATATTATATTTATAATAGGTGGTGAAGTTAGATATGGGTTTTTGTTTGGTAGCCCAACCGTGGACATACAAAATAATTGGCGGTCCATCGAAACTGCCCAAAGATTTTCCATGGCCCATCCTAAATCACTCCGGCCCACCCTAGCAGTTACTTTATGACCGGTCCCTGAAATATATATTATTCTGCTTGTGTTTATACGTGTAGGTCAAAGAAGTGTTTGGTGCTGGTACAGCTTGTGTTATTTGTCCTGTTAAAGACATATTATATGAAAATCAGGTATTTCATCGTATTTCTATAACTACAGTATTATTGAGAATTAAATACAGTATTTTTCGAAAATTTCTGATACAGTTGTGCCAGTTTAAAGAAAATTTGGTGTATAATTTCAATAAGGTAAACTCATAATTTTTTGTCCTTTTCTTTCTGCAAGGTTCTTCATATACCGACTATGGAAAATGGACCAAGAATAGCAAAGAAATTTTATGAAGAACTTACGGGAATACAGGTTTGGATATTTTCTTTCGTAATATTTATTATTTCACTGCTGTTGAAGAGATGCGCTTGAGCAGAGCTGCTGGGGGTAGGCCTGAAAGGGAAATTACGGCCAGTTGGACAGCGGTATTTGACTTCATAAAAGTATTGAATAGAATTCCTAATTACGTTATGCTTGGTTAGGAATTCTATTCAAATCAGCAAACGAAAACATTCTGTTACGTCTCGATTCATTTGAGAAGCCATATAAACAACTCGCGCTCGTATTTTCATACATTGTTTTCTCGTGTTTGGATATCCCGGTGAAACACTCGCTCTCGTTGTTCATATATTACTTATAATACTAAGTTTAATCATAGAAGAAATCGTTGACAAAATCATATATTTTTGACGAATGATCCGCCTGTACAAACCTGCGCAAACAAAAAAACCTGCTTGCATAGATACTGTGTGTATTAACGGAGCAAAACAAAATTCATTCACGAATTAAAACGAATAATCTGACGGTAGCTCCTCTAGACAAACGTGCTACTGTACAATCTTGGACATAACTCTTGAAACCATTGCAGCCAATATATATTGCAAAGTTAATGCACATTTATCAAAACAAACTTCGTCACCCCCCATAGGGCGAACTTATTTTTATTGATCTGGGAACCAACTAGAAACATGAAAAACCTTCTGGGAGTATATTAGTCGTTAAACCAATTAAATTTATAAAATGAGAGAACAAAAGAATAACTGCGACGATCTTCATGTTTTCTGGTATGTAGTAGACGTGCTGCTCAATAGACCAAATATGAAACGTGTAGTAGTTTAATCTCCAAAATTTTCTGCGAGATAACAAATTGGCCAAACTTTTCTGAGAACCTAGTTCCGCAGTTCTTCCCCATTTTCGTCCTCTTTCACCTCCTATCCCCAGGTCAGTGTTGTAAACGGCGCCGAAACAACTCTTGGTAATTTAGAATGACACAAGCTCAACAATAGCGAGCTCAAGATCTACAACGCGAACTTACGACGCGGACGTCGCATTAAACAAGTTTTATTTTAAAACGATGGCAAATACCATTAAAATATTTGTATCACAGTGAATAAAATGAAATTATACTGGAAAAAATGTAAAATATAACAGAGGCTAGCAATATATTAAGAATATATTTTTTATCATAAGTTTTTACGACTTCTATGACGACGAATCTTTGCAAATATCACGTCGTCTCGGATGGTAGTTTTGGCGGGAAAATGTGCATTCGTAACAATAGTCTATAAAGCCTGGTTTCTATCATTTCGTATGGCTGTTAACGTGTCATAACAGTGTCACAAATCTCGCAGAAATAAACTGTGACAACCTTGACTAGGCTTACACTCGAAAACTAGGCTTAGGTAAGCACGTCCGCGTCACAAATTCGCGTTGTAGATCTTAAGCTCCCTATTGAGTTGGGGGAACGCGGCGGAGCATAATTCAACATGGAATTTATTATAAAGGGGATACTTATTTGGTATATAGGGAAAGGTAGTGTCAACCAGTTTTGTCCAAGATTGTAGCAGCCTGCACTCGGTGTCATAACATCGCACGATGTCGTATGAGACTGCGCGCAGGCTAAGATTGTAAGCAGTTGACGTGGTTATAATCTTGAAAGGTTTGTGTCAGTGTAGGTAATAATAAGAAAACGTCGGATTGATAGGGAAGCAGATTCCTGAAAAATACAAAAACTTTGACGTTTCAAGCGAAGACCTTTTTACATGAGCTTTTATGTAAGCGATCACGTGAGAACAATAGACCAATCTGATGAATTTAGTTAATTTAAAAAAAATTACATGGTTATGACTATGAATAGACGATGAAGTGCTCTTCCAACTTGAAGTTGATACCTACGCTAGCCTTATGGATATAATTTTTTTGTTGACACTATAATTTACGAGTCAACAAAATGTGTCTTCGAGTCAACAAGATGATCCTTTACTGTTGAAATTACCATCGGCTTCTGTCGACAAACTTAATCATTTTTTATTCAACATTCTCTTTTTACAGTATGGAAGAATACCAAGTCCATGGTCTGTGGTGGTGATGAACTAAAAACAGATATATATTTTCTCTTTGACATTGCCGCACATAGGGCGACGTCATCGTCATGTAATCTATCTTGAAGTGCTTCTTCAGCAAACAATTTTCATAGGGGCTGTCCCAGCAAATATACTTCTATTTCCACAATAAATAGTTGGATAATATTTTTTAATAATTACTACCGTTTGCAATTGTAAACTCTGAAACGTTTTTCCACGTTTCTTTACGTTTTAAGAGTGCACGTTTTCAGCATTGCAAAATAAAAGAGGTTTAGGGTAATGAAAACATGTTTTGACTACCGCAATTGTTTGAGTATAAAGCTTTCACTTGTACAGACATATTTAATATACAGAGTTTTAAATCGATGAAGAACATAATATTATATTTGATTCGAAACTTCGCTCCTACGATTAGGAAACCAATATGGGCGGAAATGTGCATAAACATGAGACAACTTTTACAGTTCATGGTTGTTTACAAACGGTAGTAAATATTTTATTAACAATGATTTCCGGTATTGACGTAATAATGCGACTGCATGGACAATCTGCTGTATAACGAGCTACTTAAGTATATAAATAACTGAATATAGCAAAGTCACAAACACCTTAAACAAACCTGTAGACATATTTCTAATAATGTACCTATATACACATTGGCACAATAATTAATAACATGCAGGCACAAATTACTGAAAAAAACAACTAAACAAATGAAAAAGAATATATAATTTCGAAAATGGCTTCGGAGTACTTTTACTTATTTTGTCATCAAAAAGGGTTTTTATCGAAATTTGAATTGTTTGCAATTGCAGATTAACAGGATATAATTTTATTACCACTGGTGAAACATCAGTTAAATTCCTATACTGTCCACCAAAAAGTCGCAAAATGCCGATGAAAGCTCGTTGACACGTACAGCAGTAGCCTGCATGGCAGGCGGTACGTAGGAAATACCGCCTGCCGCAAAACTGGGTGTAAATGAACTACCGCCCCTGAAGCATCAACGCTATTTATAGATGATTAATTAAGTAAATATTCAAAATTAGCCACTCCCAAGCTGCTCCCAAGTCCCAACTGCCAAACATAAAATAAATTCCTTGATTCTCATCACCGCCCGACTGAATTTTAAAATCCTCGTGAAGACGTTTTATTTTTCGTTATACAATATAAATGTACCGCCCGACAAAATAATTCAAGACAGTTAATTTTTTCATATTTTATATAGAGTTTTTAATGCCATTTTAAACTTCCAATTTGAAACAAACAGAATTTTGAGTGAAATTTCATTGTATTTTAAAGAAACTCAGTCATTCTGTCATTGTTCGTGGAGATACGAACTATTGATATATCAATTATATAAATATAAAAAATAAATCTCCCACTGTTTTCGACATTTCAAAGTGTAGACTGTGTCTAGTGATGAGAATTAAGGAATTTATTTTATGTGTAAACGGTGGTTTAATAAGCTCAAAATACAAAGCATGCAAGTCTATACTATAGATTCATCATCAGTCAACAACCAAACTA